CACTAGTGGAAGATGGCAGTGGAAATCTCAAGTTCACACCTTAGCTGGGACCAGGGAATCTCTCTCTCCTTCCCCATCCCTTTACAAGAAAATGCTGACAAAAAATACCAAAACCCTAACTTTTTGTCATAAAATTGAAGTATTTGGCCAAAATTCAGAAGTGAAATATTTTGGAATTTGTCAGATATTTCCATTTTTAAATGCTTCTAGAGTACATTATGGGAGCTGCAGGTCAGGTGCCTCATGCTCCTCTAGAGGGAAGGCTCACGCGTTGAACTCCATTGGTGAGGGGAAGCAGTGTACTTGGTAGTCTCATGGCAGCAGCATATAATGAGACTTGAAGTATGGCTGGGAACGTGAGCCAGAGGAAAAATAGGAAAATAAGGCAACCTGAACAACAACTCCTAGGAGCCACCATGATGGCATTTCAAAATCTAAATATTTTGGTGTTTTGATAAAATATTTTAGTTTTCAGATGTTCTTTTGACAAAATAGTTATAAATAAGTAAGTGCCCCGCCCTGTCACAGAAGTAAACATGCCATCCTGGTTGTCCCATTCTCTGGGTGGCGCGCATCTGCGCGGTGGGGGTCACGTGGTGGGGGTGCCGAGTCCTTTTTTTTTCTGGTGAGTAGGGTTTTCTATAACTTGTCGAGCTCTGCCTCTTCTCACTTTTACGTGCCATTGTAAATAAGAAGACACTAGCATTATCTCCTGTAAATGTAAAAAAGCATGGCTATCTTTTGTTATTGTCTGAACAAGAAAGTTTTACATTGTTTTATTTTTGAGTGCAGTTACAAAAGAAAAAAATCTGTGTTTGTAAGTTGCACAATACTTATATGAGGTGAATTGAAAAATACAATTTCTTTTACCATTTTTACAGTGCAAAAACATGTAATAAAAATAATATAAAGTGAGCACTGTACACTTTTATTTTGTTATAATAAAAGCCAATATATTTGAAAATATAGAAAAACATCAAAATATTTAATTTACATTTCAATTGGTATTATTGTGATTAATTTTTAAAATCCTGATTAATTTTGTAGTTACTTGGGTGAGTTATCTGTGATTAAGCTGCAGCCCAAACAAGGTATCAGATATCTCCATCCAACAGAGAGAAACTGCCATTCTTCAGAATGAGTTTTCTCATGCTACCCAAAACATACATGTTATTGCTGGTGATCTTATGCAACAGTGGTGAAATGTCTGATTTACAGTTGTTCCTCAAACCAGGTGAATCTATGGCCTGTTAATATTCAAAAGTAATGGAAAGGTGTGCTGAGATTTTGTTTTTTGCTGATGAGTGTAACTGGCTGAGTATTAAATAAATCTTCAGGGGGTAGCTGAGTTAGTCCGTAACAGAAAAAACTTAAAAAACAACAAATAGACCAGTAGCACCTTAAAGACTAACAAAACAAAAAAAGACATGTTTTGTTAGTCTTGAAGGTGCTACTGGTCTATTTGTTGTTTTTAAAGTTTTTCCTATTAAATCAATGGTAACTACACATCTATTTGCCAATTAACTTGTCTTATGCAATTGGTGCATTATTTTTATTTTTTCCATGCTACCCTTCCCCTCCCCCCCCCCACACACATTTTTTGACTCCTGACTGTCTTTTTTGAAGCTTCAGGGGGTAGCCCAGGTAGTCTGTACAGGAAAAATCAAAAGATGGTCTGGAAGCACTTTATAGACTAACAAACCACGTAGATGGTATTTAGTTTTGTTAGTCTATAACAGTGGTCCCCAACACGGTACCCGCTGGCGCCATGGCGCCTGCGGGGGCATTCGTGTTTGCCTGCCAAGTGCTCGGGGCTGGCCTGGCCCCGGGCACGTGGCGCACGCATGGTGCCGGAGCCGACTCCAGGAGCGCCGCGAATTGGAGCACTTGGAGGAGGCACCGGCCCCGGGCGCGCAGCACTTGGGGGGGAGCTCCGGCCCCGGGCACGTGGCACTTGGGGGGGAGC